GTGGGAGAGAGAGAGAGAAGATAAAGATTTGAAAAATCAACAGACAACTGTCACAATTCGTAAACTATCGTTTAGAGAGAGAGAAAGAAGATAAAGATTTGAAAAATGAACAGACATCAGTTACATTTTGTAAAATGTGGTTTACAAAAAGAAAAAGAAGGCTGCGTAAGCACGTGCACATGCTTATAAACAAGCCCACTTACATCCTGCACTGTACAGTAGCTGTCATTGTCATTGGAGACCTCGGTCATGTTTTCTGGCAAGACAAACGTCTTATCTGTGTCTGCTTCGCTATCGTCACTGGTGTAATCGCTGTCACTGACAGGCTCTGAAATCAAATAAAAAAACAGTGACACTCTTGTTGATATCATCAGCAAAAAAGTGAACACGGGGCACACACACTAACTCACCAGCAGCATAGACTCCAGAAACCACTGGGGGACAAAATGGATTCTTCCTCCTGGTTTCTTTTTTATTTATCTTAGTTTTAGTACTAGTTTTACGGAACTCGCAACACAAACAGCTTATAATATAAGCGCCGAAGATTAGAAGTATTACGGTACTATAAAATAAGGTTCAAAGAAAAGAAGGAGAGATAAGGACGTTAGACATTTGAGAAGAAAGAAGGAACAGAGCAAACCATACCAGAGCATCAACAAACCACCCATGTACACTTTACAAAAATCAGAAAAATTCCTCAACATGCTCATATCCATGACCTGAGGAGACACAATCAGACACTGAGAGTGTAACTGACATTTCATATGATACACCAGCATAATAAGCAACATGCACCAGCATTGTAATATGTCAAATGATAGAACAAACACTACTGTCAACTGAGATGAAACAACACCTGTTTATAAGAAAGAATAATTATCGCGGCAATGGGACTGTCAATTGCAGATCAGACTACTGTATCATTACTTTGTAAAACTATGAATATCAGAAAATCCCAATTACACGATGCGATTATTATCTTCTCTTCTTGTCTCATGTGATAAGAGTTTGTTTTAGTTTTTGTTTCATTCAGTAAGCTTTTTACGGCAATTGCGTCACAATTTAATTAGGTCATATAAGTGCATTTGAGGTGTTACAAGAAAGTAACATACAAAATGGAGGAGGAAACATAAGGACAGCAGATGTTTAAAATGAAAGAAGGAGCAAACCACAAAAGAGAACCTGCCAACAACCCACATGTGATAAGCGTCAGAAATCATGAGTTTAAGAGAGCAACACATCCTGGCTAGGCCTTATGTATATCTATGGTGTAAAATTTCCTTTCCATAGGTCCCCGCCTTGCAAGACCACTGTCCGTGAGTAGCCATGAGATAAAATTGTCAGTGACAGTGAGAAAACTGATTGTAGCAGTGAGAAAAACTTGTCAATTACAAAGAAAAGACACTCGTCAGCAGCAAGAAAACTTTCCAATGCGAATCTTTTCCTTTGAGAAGAAACTGAACAGAACAAAAAAACATAACAAACCTCCATCTTGCCCCATTCTTTCCTTTGCTTCTTGAGGAACGCTGGAACTTCCTGGAATAGAACAAGCACAGAAAAGCAATTAGGAAATTTTCAGTCATATCAAATTATTCTTCAACACTCCCTAATGAAATCTCAGGTACAGTTGAGGCAGCAAACTGACAGCGATAGATGTCTATGTGTAAGGCCAAATCAATTACACTGACCAGTCTTTAATATTATGGGGAAAAATTAACTCCCAACATTGTGCAGGCAGCAAACCAGCTCTTCCTCTACTTTCAATTGCCAGGATTTTTTAAAAATAGCAGTATGTGCATGGAACCTCCCAGTCCGATAATACTAGGTGCTCCATACACAGAGTTAGTGATATTATATGTATATATATAACATATATATATATAATGGTGAAGCTCTTCGCCATTGCTCACACAAGACAGGAGTTCAATTCCCAAGTGGGGAACCAATTATATCTAGTATCTCAGTTTGTCCATTGCAAAGCTGTATCCCACTCAGCCCCCTTATTAATTATCAAAATTGAGTTGATGGGGGTGTAAAATATTTATAATCAAGGGTGCTCTATCCCCCATACCCTGCGATCAGGGGTGTGAAAGACCAGAGGAAAAAAATATGCAATGAGCATCAACATGATTGCATGAACCAGGTACCTTGACATGATTGGTAAATACCTGACCTGGCCTTAGAACGAGAGAAAAAATGACAATGCCAATCCCTAAATATCTCAGAGATTAGGAGACTTTTTTTTAAAAGTACGCATGAGAGGGATACAACGTCTCAGCAGAAAGATTGTCATCTGAGTGTGACAGCAAAGCAACTAACTGTTTCACTGCCTCTGTCAGTTATCTCACACTGAGAAATGTGCCTAGATCATGCACAAACAACCACACATTTGTTGAAAAAAAGTTCTTAAGAGTGAAGGAACACAACCAGAATGACTGCTATGGGTCACACAGAACTACAGAAGAGAAAGCAGCTCTCCTTTACAAGGCAACCTTTGAGCTCTTACTTTCAACACTACGAAAGGAACTGCTAACGCAGTCAAGCTTGCTCAAACGGCCACCTGTCCAAGACAATCACCTGTAAAAATGACCACTTCCCACTCCCCCCCCCCCCTTTTTTCAATGTTTTTTTTCTATAGTACAGTGACACTGTCAAAGACGTCTACCTGTCTAAGACAACAGCTTTTCTTATCGACAATGGGAGGCAATTGAAAAAGGAGATCATGCCTTACAAAAGAACCATCACCATCATGGTTTGTTTCCCTTGAAACAGAGCATTACACGTGAAAATAATAGTATTTTGAACAGATCAATTACAAAATTTAACAATTCCATGGAAACATGGGGTTGTAAGGTTGATGTAACCGACAACAACAAAAATTTCTCACCCGAGATGAGTTTACGGATATCCGAGTTCTGTCTCCTGATCTCCACCAACAACTCGTTGTTGACTGCGTTGATGTCTCTGTACAAGTAGGCACACGCGCACAGCACACACAGCGCACAAAGCATGGACACGTGACGACAACACTTCTGCATCCAGTACAAGCAAACCTTCGTGTGGGGAGGAGAAGGAAAGAAGTCCCAGTCACAATAGAGCATAGGACAGAGAAGAGCAATAGTCAAATAGTTGAAAGAGCTGTCACTCCTTAGAAAAAAGATACACCAGTCCAATCTGATGATGATGGAGAAAAACAGATCCATTAAAATGAAAAAATCTGCTTGCACCTTTCTGGTCAGCAATGGTGTGCAACAGATCCAGATATAACATTTATTTATAATCATAGTAAATGTTAAGCCCCCATTGACTCATTTTTTATCATTCAGGAGGCAGGCTGTTTCAACCCCACCTGTCAGGGTCAACCTGAACTGACAGGGACCCTTGCATCTCAGCAGACAGACATGGATTACTCCATGAAAGAATCCCCCCACTTGGGAACTGATCTCATATCTTCTGCTGGCCACAGTGAAGACCTATCTGCTACAACCCACAGACGCCAGTAGTTATAATGTTATGCTGGTTATTGTGCTCACTTTAGTCAAACAATCTCCGTACAGAGATCAATCCAACAATTTTTTTCCCCTTTCTTTAGACTGCACAGAACAATTGTACAAAATTAATAAAAACAAACACAAAAGTGATCCAAAGAGCAAGATATGAAAGGACTCTAATAAGAATCATCATGAAGAGAAAATATATTTTTTAACCATAAAAATAGTACAAACGGACTTTAGAAATTGCTTCTGTTTGGAAAGATAAGAGGGAAAGAAGAGCAGAGGAAGACAAAGAATAATGTACACAGATGGCCAGAACAATTCTATATCAAACAACACAAAGTCAGCCACAAAATGAGCTTACATTGTTGTCACAGTCGTAGACGCTGGCCACAGCAGATGTGAACCACCTCAACAGTGTCTGCTCCAGGAGAAAGTTGATGGTCATGATAAGGAACAGCCACATCCTGGCCCCTGGGGAAAGGAAATGGATACACAATTAGCCAGTGGCCAAGCCACACACACTACATGACATATCTTCTCCCGCCTAGACTAACATTTAGGACGTCGCAAAAAGGGCAGACCAAAAGTAACCTGGAGACGCACAGTAGAGTCTGAAATGAAGTCCTGGAATCATTCGAGGCGAACGCAGACCAAGATGGCCCAAAACAGACAGAGCTGTAGATCCTTTGTTGCTGCCCTAAACGCCAGATGGCGTAATGGGTAGTAAGTGTAAGTACCTAGACTTACATTGCTCCCTAAAAGTCTGAAAATACTTCTGGATAAGGTTTATCAAGGTGATGATAAAATATTCCAAGAAGGACATGAGCTATATAAATGCAACTTATTTTTACCGTGAAGACCAGTGCTCGCCAACTAGGGCAGTATCACTCACTAGTGGGTAATTTGGTAATGTTGGTGGGCAGTGGGGATCACCAGCTTAGTGACATGTACTATTGAACACCCCACTTCGAAATACATGTGGACGGGTGATATGAAAACGTTAGCCATATAAAGGTGGCAAAAGTGGGTGTGGCATTAAAAAGATTGACAAGCAGTGGTATAGACCTTACTAAAGCAAGCTACCAAAAGTACACACACACACACACACACATGCCATTTATTAGTAATCTGTTAAGAACATTACAGTAGCCAAAAATATAGCAAGAAGCAGCAACCACTGGTAAACAGGGTTACAACAGTACTTTACAAACGTAAGTTTTGAAAACTCTTGCCTACTTTGTATACACTGATAAATTCACAGATTCAAGGCTAACTTACCCGAAGTGCGAGCAGTGGAGGTCAAAACATAGCACACCAGGATGGAGAGACAGTAGTAGAAGAAGGAATACAGGCCAGACACTTCTCCCAGGATTGTATTTTGCAGTTTGAGCAGCTGATCAAACACGTGACCAATGATTTCTGTCTGCTCCACTGTAGACCTCTGAAAAAAATGTTTTTTTAAAGAATAGACTTTACTTAGAACAAATAACATGACCAGGCTCATGCTTCCAAACAAAGTTATGTTACATTAACTTTAATTCAACAATGACTTCTTTCAAATTCTCAGCAGTTATCTCTAAAGATACCTGCAAGACGGATTCAATAGATACTGAAAGCAAAAACTTAAAAGAGAATACTTTTTCTTACAACCACCACAATGACCCCTATTACTCTTAGAAAATTTGTCAAAATCCAAGATTTGTTGACAGAACAACTGCTGCCTCTGTCATCTGCTCTTTATCAAAATTTAATACAGGCCATAGGATTCTTAACACCAACAACTGTACATGGCTCTGAATTATTAAAAATACGAAAAGCGAGCCCACAGAAGGACCTACCTTGAGGTCCTCAAACAGCTGCTGCACACTCTGAGAGGAGCTATTGATGTCTTTGGATAAGTTGCTCGCCTGATGGAGGAGTCGTTGCTGATTCTCCAGAGTTTGGTTTTGAACCACGATCATGTCCTTCTGGAGCTGAAATGAGCTGTCTAGCAGTTCCGTCACCTGAAATAAAGGTACCATTACAATGTAATATGTCCCAAAATCAAAATTCAATGCAGGAAAGTAAGTCTATTTATAGTACCGTTCACAAGTTGGGTTTAAGTAAACCGAAGCATATCCATACAATAACAGTCATTTAGTGCAGGGAAAAAGGAAGACAGACAGAAACAAGAGAGAGAAAGAAAAAGACGTGGGATCCACCAGTGGCGCCCTCCAACCACCTTCCATCAATGATGAGAATTCAGTCGAACCAGTCTGAGACAAACACGGTTGCCAAGGAGACAAGTGGTCCTCTTTGACAGGTGGTCCTCTTGGACTGCATCTTAATGAAATACAAAAAACCAACCCCCAAAAAAAAACGCAAGGGGGAGTTGTGAAGTGGCCGTTTGAAAAAGTGATTGTCTTTGATGGGTGGTTGTTGAGGCAGGTTCTACTGTATATATCTCTTTCCACTAAACACATTAAAAACAATTTTATTACAAAACCACAAAGCTGAGATTCCCATGAAGCAGAAGCTTTTTAGGCTCCAAGAGAATATCAACACATCTCTTAGAAAATAGAAAAGAAAAACAAAGAATAAAGAAAAAAGAATAATAGAAATACAGTTGAAATAAAACATGATCAGTCCTATTAACTATTATTATGCTATGAGATGTTTGTTTAAGTAGAGGTTTTACGGCGTTCGCAACTGCAAAAGGTCATATGAGCGCCAAGGGGTGGACGTCAGCAGAGAAGTCCTTACAGTGAATCAGACTCTGCTCACCTCTCTCGCTTCAACAGCACAAAGGCTGCTTCGACTATCAAGTCATCCCAGAAATAGTGGGTCATAAGAGTGTGGCAAACATACAAAAGAAGTAGAGGGAAAATGACAATAGGAAGGATTAGGAAGGAAAAAGTAGCAGTTCCCTGTTGTAGATCAGGCACAGTTATGAGCGTGACATTGATAAATCAGCCCATTTACAATTCTACTGTGCGTGAACGAGAAATGTCCCCCCTTTGGGAAAGGCCTAAAGACACTTCAGTCAGTGGCACCACCCCGGGGGGTATGCTATGAGAGGAAGCATCATCTCCGACAAGAGCTGAATTTTTTAAGTCTGCGTTTTGCTTGATGGAGCCCTACAGCAAACCAAGATATGCAATTCTAAGCTGAAGATGGACCCGTCAGCCTTATTTCTCCCTCATCAAGTGGTTAAATGAAACTTTCACCTGCCACTGAGCTATAATTAGACTGTAAACATCCGCCACTACTTTCTATAATCTGACGTAAAAAGGCAACAATGTTTATAAGCTTATTAATAATGTAAAAAATGAACAGCATTTTTTCACTGTGTATGTTCCAAGTGCTCTACAACTGAACCTACACTCATTCATCAAGAGAAACATACATGAACAGGTACAGATTTTTCATTCTCTCCGCAACCTAGTAGACTCTGATATCTTCTATTTTTTAAAAATATATTGGTATACGTTTCATAGCACTCGTAACTGCCGCAGTTGCAACTGCGTAAGGTTATATGAGTGTGCAGGACACAAGTAGGTTATTTTCAAATTAGTTCATAGCACAGCTTGTAACATCTTTCACTCATCTTTTCCACACACATAATTATTAGTACACAAAAAAAAACATACACACGACTTACAGGCACACACTTACATACACTTAATCAAGAGGATAGTGTAGCTGATAACTGGCACACAATGATACAGAAAGCAGATCGTTTCATGAATCCTGAAGAGGAGGGAGGAGCAGCTATCACATTGTACCACCTGCTATGATGCCTCTTCTCCAACCAAGCAAGTAAGAGGAGAGTGTAGACAACAACCTGAACAGACTTCTGGGCCAGTCGTTCCACTGTGTTATCAGTCTCCGCCTGCCAGATCTGGGCTTGCAGGAAGTAGCAGATGCTTTGTGTGTGTGTGAAGAATGTGGCCAGTGAGCCACGATCTCCCTCCCTCAGTTGACTCATACACTCATCCAAATCTTGATCCTCTGAGCATGAGTAACCACTTCTGCCTTGAATCTGGAATGAGAATATGCTTTTATAAAGACCATTATCTATATAATCAAAAAATTTTAGGACCTAATAGTTACTCTTTTTATTTTTAAAATTACATACTTGTCACTTGTACAAAATATATACCATGGACATTAATATACGGACATATCAAGCTAATTGCAGGCATCCTCTTTATACTTGTGCCAAATATCACCAAAGATTATTGTATAAGATGGGTTGTTTCAAATTTGAGAAATTTAAAAAATACCTTCATCAGCCATAGTCATAGTGGTAAAATTATTTAAACCTCATAAACAGTGGGTAGCTTTTAGCAGTATATTGTCATCAATCTCTTTAATAAAATTACAAAACATAATATAATGCATACAGTCGTGAAACTGTCAAAGATGGCCATCCATTGTCGAGGACAAAAGGGATTGTCTGAGACAAGTAGACATCTTGGACAAAGACATGATAAAATAAGAAAAATACTAAAGTGGAAATACGAAGCAGTTGTTTGTACACAAGTGATAGCCTTGAACAAGGGGCCATAATTGCAGGTCAACTGTATCATCTCTTACCTCCAAAAAACAGTTCAAATAGGCGAGAGCAAGTCTAGCCTGTGCCCTATCTGTCAGTTTCTTGCAACCAGTCTGTATGGTGACCATAGCATTCCTCCAGCACTGACCATACCGCGGCATACTGGAGTGTTGTTCTATCAGCTGAAACTGTTTTCTGCCCTCCTCGTAGCGAGAAATGGAAATGTCCACCCCAAGAATGGCTGGGGTCAGCCAGGCCAAGATCATCATGAACAGCAGCCTCTTCATCGTGAACATCATGGTGGGTTCAAACAGTAGAGAAAACCCTAGAGATGTTTTTTGCAAAAGAAAGAGAGACACTTTAGGAAGAAGAACAGTACCCACTAAAATTAAAAGAGATTCATTTAAGTCCGAACGTTTTACGGCGCTCGCAACTGCATAAGGTCATATGAGCGCGCTGGACACACCTAATACTTTTTAAGTTGGTAGGAAATTTTTGAATTTTGCCCTGGTGGCGGCCGAAGACTACTCTTATCGATTTTAGACTACCAAGGGATCTTTAACGTGCGCAACTTGCACACGGGCCTTCCGAGATTTTTCGCCCTTGTCCGAGAAGGCAAGGTGTAGATCTTTCCTACCAGAAGATAGGGGTGTGGCAGAAAGACAGCTGTAAGGAGTCAAGGAGTAGCAGTAGAAAGGCTGCAGAAAGAGACAGGAGCCCAGAGGAGGGGGGCAAAGGGGAACGAAAAACTGAAACAAAGCAATATGTAAGTGTGTGTAGTGCATGTCATGGTATACTTCATCATGTATGAATGTTGAGAGAAGCTCGTAGGGATGGTAAGAGAGCACACTGGCGTCAGGTGTTTAGTACAAAAAACAAAAAAGGAGAAAGGTATATTACTGCAATCACAGCGAGTATTAAAGTAAACAAAGAGCAGTACACTTGAAAGTGGCTTTGGAAATCTGAATGGCTTCAACATCATTAAATATTTACACAACAAAGTGCAACTCCAACAGTGATGAAAATTCAAAGTTTTGCATTCTTATCCACCAAACTTAAATTTAATGCCATCATCTGCTATGAGCAACATGTGAATAAATCTTAATCTTATTCACATTAATTCGACTTGGGTAATGAGGTAAATTCGGATAAGGTTACGGTAGGGTTACGGTAGGGGTAGGGTTAGAGTCAGGGTAACGGAGTAACCCTTTTGTCTCACTGGCCTTACTTATCCTAACTTTAACCTTAACCCTACATACCTGGACCCCTACGCTAACAGTTAGGAGTAAGGTTAACCCTTGTTTTATCTCACTGAAGACTGAAGGATTTTACTATGTTACAAGCACCGAAGACAGAAGGTTGTGGGTTTTTTTCAAAATTATATTTATAAAATCTGAACCATTTAACCAACTGCAATGCCCTTTCGACACAATCAAGAATAACACAAGAACAATTTATAATAAACACACCAGATATCAAAGTACAAGTCTGTCACAGCTAGATTATTTGTCATGATGTTTTGAAAAAAGGTATAAAATTCAATGTTCAAAAATTTAAAAAAAAAAATAAATAAAAAGTAGTCACTGCAATTAACAACACAGGCAGTCTTAGCAGTCACCTTACTAAAAAAGCTCTGGATCAAAAAGTTATTGGGCTAAGTTATTGACCGATGTCCTGAATTTTTTGTGAAACAAAACAAATGGCTACATATACTTATACGACGTCTAAGCGGGAGAGATCGGGAGAGCTCTAGCTGGGGGGGAAGGGGGTGGGGGCTGTAGGCGGACTCTTAACAGGTAGTCAGCGGTGCTGCGTTGAGATTGGCTAGTCCAGTGATGAGTAAGGTTGGGCAGGCGACAGACTCAGAGAGAGATGGTGTGGAGAGACGCATTGTTACCTGAGCCACTCCAAAAGCAGGGCTGAGAATGTCATTCCACAAAAAAGGCTGAAAACTAGGGGGGTCCGGCGGGATTGCCAAGTAACTACCGGTACTCGATTGTCACAAAACTGAATGCGATTCTACCAGTAATGAAGAAGAATAAAAAGTACTCGATTTAAATGGTATCGGCCGACACACGGATGCACCTCGGTTTCGTCCAGTAAAAAAAATGTCTAAAATTATTATCGTCTTTTATTCAATTCGTTTTTTAAATTCTTACTACAATATTATTATTATGAATACAAAACTCGGGGAAAAAAGGAGGAAGAGACGTTCGGATGAGCAGACGGCGGTGTTGCAATGAGCAAAATTCCTCCTTTAAGCGGACAATTCTCAGCCCTGAAAAATGATGTGCCATAGTCTAGCCTTAGGCCTAGGCTACGGCAAAAAGTAAAAGAAGAGGAGAGTGTGTAGTGCGTGATTCCCGATTCATCGAATTGTGATCGTTGATCCTCAGGTGCATCCACCTCACCAGTTTTACAGTAAAGCCTACCGGTACAAGCAACAAGACTGACGAAAAGAGATGGCTTCCAACAAATACTTAAGCTATGGAAATGATTCTTACTCAAACTTTAAAAAGCCAAGATAATCAACAAAGTTGGCAAGAAAAGGAAGACCAATCTAAATCGCAAACTTACAGATACAGTCAAATCTGCCCTGACGGCCACCTCAATAAGACGGCCACCTGTACAAACGGCCACTTTCCATTTCCCCCCTTGCGTTTTTTCCATATAATTTAACTGTGTAAAACGGGCACCTGTCCAACGTGGCCGCGGCCACCATATTTCAACACACAACCCCTATCACACTAAGCAATAACACCTGTCTTAGACGGCCACCTTAGTGACTCCATTACATTTTGTCATAAATTGTGCATTGACCCCTGGCGTTGTGGGCGAGCCGTCATAATTCAATCACCTGTCGTTGTTGTTAGAGGTAGTGCCTCCAACCGATCATGTTGCGTTGGCCCCTCCCACTGTTGACCAATAGGTAACAAATTTTCACTGCTGGCAAGATAAGCGTGTGATCCCTCATAACCCATAAGCCCCGCCCAGAACTCGTACACAAATCGTAAGTGAGATGAGTGGTCACTGTTTACCCAGTCTGTAACAAAGTAACAAAGGACGTCAACATGAACTTGTGACAGAAGCGTCGCTCGTTCTCTGAGTGGTGGCGACCCATGTGTTTGTTTTAACATGGCACTCGGTCTTCCTCGTCTGATACATTTCGTTTTATTGTCACCCTTGTGCAAAATCAGCAACAAAATAAAAATTACGAACAAAATACAAACCAACAACAACAACAACAACAAAAACAACAATGCGGCTACTTTCGATTCGGACCTCAGATGGGAATGGTTTGTTTTCTTCATCTTGATCAGTCCTGCCTAAGACGGTCACCTGTCTTATACGGCCACTTTTCTCCTTGACAGTGGGTGGCCGTCTTACACAGGTTTGACTGTATATGGAAGGGAGGCAATCATGTGGATTTGTAAAAAAAATTTAGGTAATTCCTCTTAGCATTAGTTAGAGGACATTTTTTCTGGAACCAAAAGTCCTGCTATAATAGCCGTGTTCTACTGTATTATACTCTACTTTGCACACAATTCTGCTTCTGTGGCGCTTGGCGCATGAATGGTCTTCATGCACAAGGAGATCATCATTGCCTTTCTCACCCTGGGGCAGGATATAGGTCACGAACAAAAACTCTCCACCTTTCCCTATCCTGGGCTAGTCACTTGATGTCACTCCACGTCTTCCCACTTTTCTGTACATCCATTTCCGTGACTCTTCTCCAGGTTCCATGAGGTCTTCCCCTTGATCTTTTACCCTGTGGGTTCCAATCTAACACTTTTCTTGTTATGCAGCTGCTTGACTTCCTGAGAGTGTGTCCAATCCATCGCCAACGTCTTCTTCCCACCTCATCTCTGACCGGGCTCTGTCTGGTTCTTCTTAATACTTCCTCGTTGGTGATCTTGTCTGTCCATTTGATCCTCAGCAGCCTCCTCAGACACTTGTTCAAGAAAACCTGGATCCTCTTTCTTATGCACATATGGGATGAGTTCCACGTCTCACATCCATACAACAAGACTGACCTCCCATTTGAGTTGAAAATTCTAAGCTTTGTTCGTAATGAGATATCCCTGGTCCTCCAAATCCTGCTCAAAGAAATAAATGCAGCCTGTGCCTTTCCAATGTGGGACTTTATTTCAGCGCCTGTTCCTCCCTCTCTGTCAATTATACTCCCAAGATAGCAGAAGGATTCGACGACTTCAAGTGCATTTCCTTGTACTGTGACCTGCTCCTTTCGCCGTGCATCTATCCTTAGGACCTTCGACTTTCCGGGGTGGATCCTCAATCCAACAGACTCGGATAGGCTGTTTAAAATTGTCATCTTTGCTTGCATCTGTTCCTGAGAGTGCGACAGAAGTGCCAAGTCATCTGCAAAGTCCAGATCGTACAACAACAACAAGGAGATGGCACGCTTCAAAGTTGGTGATGTTTTCACCAACGTTCCGTTGTTTAAAGAAGTCATTATAGTTATAGTTATAGTAGGCCTATTCTATGATCAGTCCCATCTTCCGAATCCCACCTTCTGTTTCCCATCTCTCACCTCTTGTTTCTCATGTACCGTATCCAATTTTCCATATCCTATCATCAATTCTGTAAGGGTTCTTCGTTTTCCTGCACCTTATAGGATGGAATGTTTGAAGCAGGCCAAAATATTTGAAAATACGTCAGTCATCACTGACTAAAACCACAGGCTACTTAATATAAAAGGGCAGTGCGCGCTCCATCTAAACGAAGCTTGAATGCCCTGAACGTAGCTTCAACAGCACCTGTAAAACGCATTCAGGGCGCCGTGAATGTAGCCTGCCAACTATGTTCACGGCGCTGTGAACGTGAACGTAGACTACGTTCACGGAGCCGTGAACGTAGCCACTGCGAATTTCAAAACAAAGCAAGACTTTCATCCGCCTAAACTAGACCTATAGATCTAGATCTAGATTCTAGGCCAACTTGTGGCGATTTTGTAGTTTCGTTCGTTAAAGTCAAAAGTAAGGGGGTCTTGCCCCCCTGACCTAATAAAAATATATGGAGGTGGGGGGGTTATGAGCAGCATGCCCCCCTGGATTTTACCATACACACGGCCATTTACCATAATTTGATGTTTTGCAGTTAGGGTGCATCCCTGCTCTTTTTGTGTAGCCTATTTGGTCATCAAGACTTCTGGATTTCTTCTTTGGAAGTAAACAAATGGATCGTGGACTTTAACAAACCAAACTACAAGTACAAGATCACCCTACTTGCTTGCCTAAGTCCTAAGTTTTTTTTATGTCAATGAGATTCTATTAGAGGCCTGTAGAGAGTAGTCCATATTATTTGCAAAAAGAACACCTGAAAATAACTTTGTAACCATAGACTATAGAAGCAACAAGTGTGAGGACTTCCATAACGAGCGACCACTATGAGACAGGGCAGAATTGAGGGCTAGGGGTAGGGATAGATCTAGGGCTAGGGCCTAGGCTAGGGGTAGGGTTTGGGTTAGGGTTAGAATTAAGGTAAAAAAGGCCTCTTCTTTATTGTGTTTGATGGGGTGGTCGCTCGTTACGGAAGTCCTTCCGCACTTGTAAGTACAGTACTGTGTTTAAATTTAAAGAGTCTGGTTTATAGGAAGGGGGAGATTGGAGAAGTCGAAACTGCATCTCTGCATGATGACTGCATGCATAGTTTTTATAGAATAGAATCACAGAAAACCGATGATCTTCAATCAAATCTTCAAAATGGAAAAATTGAAGTTGGCTCAATACTTTAATACTCATTCTGTTATTGTTATCATAATAATATTTTTACAAACTACAACAACTAAATTCTAGATCTAGATCTAGATCTAGATCTAGATCTAGATTCTAGATTCTAGATCTACTGACTTGCAGCAAGCAACAGCATTGACATTGATCATTGACGCATTGTCGACGTTTTGCATCAGGTTTAATTTTAGTGCTCGAACAGTCGAACGCTCTAAGCAAATATCGATACTTATTTAACTATCTTCATTGAGTAGTTGAGAACCTTTGGCGGAATACATTTCCGAAAACTTATAATAAACTTGGTACATGTTGTAGACATTATGAAAATTCAAGGGGGGGGGGCACAAAACCCACACGATAAAATCATATTCTAGCATTTGTGGAGATTAAAAAGTCCACAGGGCGATGGTCTCGGAATGTAATCCCTAAACCAGTAGCCTAGAAATTTCGACTAAGCTAATGCTACCTTTACAATTTCAGATAATCAACAGATAGACAAAAAAGAAAACGATAGCATATCGAGTAGACTGTCATAAAAACAACTTCTCACAGTTTATATCCAAAATAAAAGAAATGCTGTTATATAGTCCCTACACAACTATAGCTCGCTAGTGACTTGAAACCATGTGCGCCTGGGCTTGCCTTGGAGAGAAGAACGAAGAGATTTGAAGGTTATTTTTAAAAGAACACCTTGCAAATTGGTTTGTAGAAAAGTAAAACAAAAAATTCTTCTCAATGAATGTTGAATATTTGTGCACTATTCGTATAGATATTATTAATATTATTGAAATTTTATTATTGGGTATCGAATGATTGACAATGTATAATTTTTATATAAACGAGTACTTCCCGGGTATTGGTAATGCGATACGTTTTGAAAAGCAATAAGTTGAGTACTTTCGACTTGGTGTACTTTCGTTTTGCACCAGCTCGTTTTTTTTTCAGGCATTCGTCATATTATTATTCACTTATTATGTTCACACTCAAAATCCAATGATTATGAGAGAGACAGAGAGAGAGAGAGAGAGAGAGAGAGAGAGAGAGAGAGAGAG